GAGTTTTCCTCCGGGGGCTTCCCCGGTTTCTCCGTGGCATCCCACCAATTACTCCATTCACACACAGAAGAAGGCAATGGCAAACCACTTCTGGATCATCTGCCAAGAACGTATATGAACAGGTCCCAGTCCGAGAAAAGGATGGAAGGATCGTGTTCATATGGACCTGTCGTCAGACAGAACACTAAATAATAAATAATAGCGACGCTGTATCAGCTACAGTTTTAATTTAGCATCGATTAAGACGGGGGAATATACCTTGAAGTTAAAATGGTAAACGAAAGAATTTGTGGTCTGTTTCAAGGTCACGTACCAACACCCTTTCGTAAAGATATGGCGTATAATGATAACTGACGGAATGGGCAATCTAGGCGTATATGGTAGGATATTATTAAAATATTTCTTGAGGCAGTGTGGGTGGAGGGTGTGGACTGGATTCACATGGTTCAGCATACAAATTGGTGGAGGGTTGTTGTGAACACGATGATGAACATTTGGGCTCTATAATAGACTCTATTGCATGAAGTTAGCTGGTAAGAAACTCAGTAGCAAGACACTAATTCTGAATCCAGATTTAATTCGAAAAGAGCTGAGAAGGCGGAACTTACTTATAGAAATATGTGAAAATTAAGGGGAGAAACATACTGATGGAACTTTATGAGGTAGTTAATACCCAGCTTTCCTCAGCTACCGATTGAAGACGTCACTCGTTTATCCTGGGCAGAGATTATTGTACACACAGCTTTTTTACGATTCAATTACTTGGTCTCAGTTGATCCTTTGGCGATAGTCGTAAAATTGCGCTGGTGTTTGAGGCCGTCTGAAATGCGGGTGAGCCAAGCCCATGAGCTGCACTTCGAGACTAAGTGATCTTAATTCACTTTTGTTCTGAGTCCAGCCAAATACGCGGGCAGAAATCTCGCTTTCTTAGTTTCTTTGTAGATGGGCGAGGAATATAACACGCACGCGTAATACGTTTTAATTATTAAAGATGTGATCAGAATTGTAGTTATCTGATACTTATTTCGTGTAAAATTTTGTATCTTCAAGACAGAGAAAATTACATGATGAGGAGCTTTGTAATTTTCACATTTTGACAGATATCATCAAGATGATAAAATCAAAAAGATTAGATGGGCGAGGCATGTAGCATATATGGTACGGTTGTAGTGGAATTTCGTCTCAACAGTGTAGTTGACTTTTCCCCCATCCGAGCTACATACGTGCTTGAGGCCCACTCACGTAAATTAATAATAAAATTCATACGAAAATCGCTTTGCTGTTAAGGTTTAACCCGGATTACTTGCAGCTTTGGCGGGCGTGATAGATTGGTTCACACTCGTCTAAGCACGGATGTCTTAACATATTCTAGACGTGGACATGTCCCCAGGGATGTCTGGGGTATAAACCACCATCACGTAAACTATAATGAAACTCATGTTCGAGGATTATTCTGTGTTCAACAAAAGAAAAAAAATTAGCGAACCTTCTTGTAGCAGAGTGAGACAGGAGCGTAATTTTTGAATTCTCCGCCACATCCAGACCAATTCTGACAATCATGTGTCGTATCCCTGGCATGGAATCGATGGGCCCTGAACCCCCCGCGTCAGGATACGAACTGTAGATCTGCCGAGCGGATGCAATCTTATCTGGTGGCCTTGGAGCTATTGAGTACGGCAGCGTTTAAGGGTAATATACCCAAGAACAATCTTCAATCGAATATATATAGATTCCTTAATTATGGAATCATTAAAATGAAGGTTATACAGAATTACTTGTGCTGAGACTCCTGGATCCTTGACTGCCAAGACCAAATCTTGGAGACCGGCGACAGCGTGACTGCCTCTGATAGGTTGTGATGGCGTTGTCAAGGCCTCGGCAAATGGATCTCCCATGAATTACTTACTAGAGAGTTCCCGGTTTCGTTCTTTTGACTCAAAGATCCACTGTCTCCAAACTTACAAATCCATTACAGTCTAGCGTGAACAGACATATACCAACAGACGAGATGCTTTTAGCGATGGTCTGGTTATGCAAGTAATAGCCATTAGGGTCTCCCAATAGATGGCTGCGTTGACACGCATTGCCCAAGATCCTTATTGAAATAATCTCCCAAGGGATTATCAATAAGTGGTCCGCAGTTCGGATGCGATACATGAACAATTAATAATTTCAGGATTTGGATGAAAATAATCGTGGATTATTTCAGTGCACCGTCGTGGTATTTGATTGAAGAGGAGAAAGACATAAGAAATGTTCAGCATATCTAGTATCAGGATGGCTTTCGAAAGCAAGTATTGCCCTAAAGCGTTACTGCTACGAGTCGAGGTAACTTAGCCAGTGTAGCTTCTTACTACGGGCTGGACGAAGTGAGACCAGAAAGGCTCTGGGGCGCATCCATTCTCCAGTCTAATGGGTGCCAAGAGTCCTTTCCCTGGGGATGCAGTGCTGACCACTCCCGTCTAGTGCCGAGGATACGAACGAGTAGTAGCTGTGCGCCCTCTCATCCCAAGGAACTCGACACAGTGTACCGGGAATAGTTTTACTTTAGTGTTACAGCTAAA